GTTTTGGATTCTAAAATTAAACGTGTTTTAGTGGACCCAGGAAGTTCGGCCAACATCATACTATGAAGGGGGTGTGAGAAAGCCAAGCTCACCAGAAGCATCATTCCGGCCACAAAACTCCTCATCGAGTTCAACCTAGCAAGTGTGACAGCCCGAGGAGAGATCCTGCTGCCCACGAATGCCCAAGAGGTGATGAAGACCGCCCTTTTCGAGGTGGTGGGCAGCGAAATAGGCTATATTATTATCCTGGGTAGATCGTGGTTGCACGAGATAAAGGTTGTGCCATTAACATATCAAAAGTTGCTGAAATTTCCAACTCCCAAGGGAATTAAACAAATAAGAGGTGACCAACCGGCAGCAAGGGAGATGAATGCAATCTTAGTCTCCAGTAGCAAAGGGAAGGAGCATGCGGCATAACAATTACAGGAACCGACGCCTGCTCCCGAGCCGAGCGAAATCAAAGAGGGGGAAGAGTCGTCGGAATCCTATCAGGTGCCAACGTTCCACTTGGGGACAGGATTGCACCCCGAGATCAGGTCTGGATTTTTTGAATTTCTTAAATTTAATGTTGATTGTTTTGCGTGGTCGCCTGCGGAGGTATCCCACTGGAAGTGGCCGTACACAAGCTAAGCTTGGACCCCAGCATCTCTCTGGTAAGACAGAAAAAATGTCCTATTGCCGAGGTGAGAAATAAATTTGTCAAAAAGAGGTAACTCGCTTGCTTGATATCGGTTCAATCCGAGAGGTAAAGTATCCTGGCAAGCTAATATAGTAGTAGTTCCAAAGAAGAATAATAAATTTCGCATGTGCGTAGACTATAAGAACTTAAATAAGGAGTGCCCAAAGGACTCGTTCCCATTACCAAATATTGATCAAATGATTGATGCAATGAAGGCACGAGTTAATGAGTTTCCTCGATGCTTACCCCGGAAACAACCAAATCAAAATGAACCCAAAGGATCATGAAAAAACTTCGTTTATAACAAACTTTGGCACATATTGTTACAATGTGATGTCTCTCGGGCTAAAGAACGTCAGAGCCACCTATCAATGGCTCATGAACAAAATGTTCGAAAATCAAATAGTAAAAACTATGGAAGTTTACATAGATGATATGCTTGTTAAGTCTTTGAACGCATGTGATCATCTTAAGCACTTGTAAGAAACTTTTGACATCTTAAGGAAATACAACATGAAGCTTAACCCCGAGAAATGTGCGTTCGGGGTCAGCTCCGGTAAGTTCCTGGGATTCCTGGTGTCACAAAGGGGGATCGAGGTTAACCCCGATAAAATCAAAGCCATTGAAGACATCCCGGATCAGATTTCAAGCGTAAAAGAGGTTCAAAGGCTAACGAGGAGATTGGCCGCTTTGAGCAGATTGATTTCCCGGTCTTTAGAGAAATGCCATCATTTCTTGTCACTACTCAAAAAGAAGAACAACTTTGAATGGAACCCGTAATGTCATCAGGCTTTGAGGGATTTGAAAAGGTATTTTTCAAGTCCTCCGTTACTATCAAAATCAGAGGAAGGCAAAAAACTGTTAATCTACTTAGCAGTCTCGGAGGTAGCGGTAAGTGGCATTTTAGTTCGCGAGGATAAAGGTATGCAATCTCCTATTTATTACGTTAGTAAAATTTTAACGGGACAGAAACTCGCTACCCACATCTAGAAAAGTTGGCCTTAGCCCTCGTAGTCGCCGCTCGAAAGCTAGGGCCTTATTTCCAATGTCACCCAATAGCTGTGGTGACCACTTTTTCCTTGCGAAATATCCTTCATAAACTCAAACTTTCGAGTAGGCTGGCCAAGTGGGCTATCAAAATAAGTGAATTTGACATAGAATATAAATCTAGGACTGCTATTAAGTCACAAGTCTTGGCCGACTTTGTGGCTGATTTCTGTTCGGGACCTTTGGCTACCAAAGAAGCAGTGATGGTGTCGGAATCGACATTAGGAGTTTAGACCTTATTCACGGACGGAACTTCCAATGTGAAAGGGTCCGAGCTCGGCGTAGTGTTAACCACGCCTTCGGGAGAAACCCTAAGACAGGCCATAAGAACGGTTCCTCTGATTAACAATGAAGCGGAGTATGAAACTTTGATTGCAGGGCTCGAATTGGCCTGGGGACTGGACTCCGAGTTCATAGAAATCAAATGTGACTCCTATTTGGTGGTAAATCAGGTCTACAGGATCTTCGAGGCCAAAGAGGAACGCATACAACAATACATAATGAAGGTTCGGGCTCTTCTCGCTCGGTTTCGGGAGTGGTCAATTATGCATATCCCGAGGGAAGAGAATGCCAAAGCAGATGCACTAGCTGACCTTGGCTCATCTACGAAAATGAAGGGACCAAATTCCGGTACGGTCGTATAGCTTCTACACTTGGTACTGGGCGCAGATAGCAATTACGAGGTAAACGCGTCTAATTTGGTCTGGGACTGGAGGAATGAGATCATTGACTATCTCGAGCACGGAAAGTTGCCTGAAGATCCCAAGGCATCTCGGGCGCTATGCACAAAGGCAACGCGATATAGTTTCAAAGGAGGTCAATTATACAGAAAATCTTTCCAAGGCCCGCTGGCCCGATGTTTAGGAGCCTCTAAAGCTAATTATGTTATGCGAGAAGTCCACAAAGGGATCTGCGGAAATCATTCGGGCGCAGATTCCTACAGTTAAAATTAATTAGGGCAGGATATTATTGGTCCCGGATGGAACAAAACGCCAAAGCTTATGTTCAAAAATGTGATAAATGTCAATGCTGCGTATCGTTGGTACATCAACTGGCAGAGCCATTGCATTCAGTTTTATCACCATGGCCGTTCATGAAGTGGAGAATGGATATCGTCGGACCACTGCCACCGGCCCCCCGTAAGGTAAAATTTCTTTTGATTTTAATTGACTATTTTCAAATTGAGTTGAAGCAGGTCCTTATCAGAAGATCGATAAACGCGAATTGGTAGATCTCTTGTGAGAGAACATAATTTGCAGGTTTGGGATACCAAAAGAGATAGCTTGTGACAATGGGCCGCAATTTATAGGCGCAATTTAATAAGGGAGAATGACACAGTTACCCACAAAAATAAAACTATTTACCCTTGTCTACCCATTTGTTTTTCTACCTATCAAACTAATTACATTTCTTATCCATAGTAGTTTTTGTGGGGAATGTTTTCTTTATTCTCCAATTCTTTTTTATTTCAATGCTTCTTTTCTTTTCTTTTTTCTTTTTTTTCTTTTCTCCTTTTCTTTTTTCTCGTTTTCTTCTTATTTTTTTCTTTTTTCCTTTTCTAATTTCATTTAACTTCTTTTTTTTATATTCTTTTTCTCTTCATAATCTAATTTCATTTACTGTTTTCACTATTTTTTATTATTCTTTTTTTATACTATTACTAAAGAAAAATTAAATTGTGTACCAATTAAATGTAGCTAATACAACCAAAAAATATTTACGAACATATGATACCAGTATAGTATATAGCTATACCAACATGGTATACAATTGTACGCAAAGATTAATTTTTTTTTTTGTTTTGAGTTTCAAAATAACCACAAACTCAGCAAACCCAATTTATGAGTTTCAAAGCTTCAAGGTCCTCCAAATGGCAAATTAATGTTTTGCAGAGTCAGAAGCCTTGGAATTCAAGTCATAGAATAAATCAAAACGAAAAAAAGATTTACATTTTCAATTTGCCCCTCACGCTGGGTAAAAGCTTAAAGCAAATTAAAAGGGAAAAGGTAAGTGAATTTACGGATAATAAATATACTATTATGGTATATTGTATACTATTACAGCTTATTGTTACAGTATATTGCATATTATTACAGTATACTTTAACAATATATTGTATACTATAATAGTATACTGTTGCAGTATAACTATATACTCCTATAGTATATTGTATACTGTAGTGGTATACTGTTAGGTAACTGTGTTCTTCTTTGATTATTATAATATACCGTTGCATTATATTGTAAACTATAATAGTATACTATTGCAGTATAGCTATATACTCCTACAACATATTATATACCATAGCGGTATACTATTGGGTAGTTGTGTTCTTATTCGATTTTCAGCTGAAAATTTTGATCTCAATCACCTCAAACCAGCTCCAAATGCTATCAAATTTCAGTATGAACTTCCAGAAGGTACTATAAGCAATATTTAACAGCACCCACTTTGAATCAAACAAGAAATCTTCAAAATAAAAATTTTAAATTCAAGAGCTTCAAGCCCCTACAATGGTGAATATTCAAATACACATAAAAATTCAGATCCGAGAAGCTTACTTGAAGGTACTATAATCAATATTTTATAGCACCCACATCGAATCAAATAAGAAATCATCAAAATAAAATTTTAAATACAGGAGCTTCAAACTCATAAATGGTGGATCTTCATACCACACAAAAATCAGAGCTGGGAAACTTAATATATAACTGCAACAACACATGAATTCAGATATACAAATAAATACAAAAAAAGAAAATACTAATATAGAAAGAGGATTTTGGAGTGAAACTCTTGTACAATAATATTGAAGATAAAACAAAATCTGAAGAAAAATTCACAAGTCAAATCAGTAATTGCTGTGTGAAATATGATTTCTCATGGTTTGGCTATGAGATTTTTGAAATGAAAGAAATGGCTGGGTGAAATAGCGTTAACTGAGGCATTAAATGAGGGGAATAAGCTAATGTATGACCCGGGTAGATAGTTTGAACCGCATGGGTAGGAAAAGTAAATAATTTGGGTCTGGACATTAAAGGGTAAATAATTTGGAATTAATGAGTATAAAGTGAAATTTTCAATTGCTGGAACCTTAATTGCACTCAAGTATAATTAAGCGGTAAATAGTTATGTGGAAAAAAAAATAAGAATTTGACCCGAAGAAGAAATTTTTTTGCCAACATGGTCCTCAGATGAGTGACGTGTGCTACCGTCCACACGGGGAAGACGTGTTTGACAATTCCAAGAACAGCTGGTATATATCTTGTCTTTACACTTCATTTTCTTCCCTTATCAGATCAGTTCACCCCATTACAGACTGCGATCTTTACGCTTCTCTGCCCTAAACCAACAAGATTTTAAGCATATCCAAGTGAACAAAAACAGGTAAATATTGCATTTTCTTTTCTGTCTTTCACAGTTTAAACTCAGTAGCTTTTGCTTTCTACTTTTGTTTCTTCTTCTACTCTGCTCTTTTCTTGATCTTGGTCAGATTCAGATCAATAACTTGCGATTTGAATCAGATTCTATGCTTTGCTTATCAGTCTTGATATCCCAAAATTACATCTTTTACCCCTTTTATACATAACAATGGATCTGATCAGATCATCGATCCTCCTTTGATCATCTGTTAACTCGAATGCTTAACTAATCTGATTAGTTTTTTTTGACTTCTGATTCGTATGTTTACTAACAAACTTAGTTGACTTGTTCATACTAAAGGAAGTTGACTTGACAAAATATGCATAGTTTGTTGCAGCAGTATTCAGTTTTGAGTAAAGAACAAAGCTTTATGTTTTCTTCATACCATTACATGTTAGAGAATAAACATGTCTTCCATTAGTCGAGGTGTCAAAGCGTTATAATAGTTATTGGCTGTCTAATGCCTTAGATTTTAGGTTGTATGACCCGATTCTTTAACATAGTATCAAAGTAAACTATTGGTAAGCTCATTTCTTCTGGTCATCACTATCAAGTCGCCAATTCTGCTCAAGAGTCAAGACACGCTGTCGGTCTTGTGAGCAACTCTCCCAAGTAAAAAACCTTCAAGTTCACTATTAAATCTAATCTCACGTTGGCCGGATCCAATCTCACTCTTCAGCCTTTGACTTTGAGATGCATCAGTCTTCCCAAAAAAGAAAATCTTAAAGTCCACAGGTAAAGCCTTGGAATCAAGTTACAGTATAGAGGGTTTAGAGAATAATAAGCTTTTATAATCTAAAGTTTTGGATTAAATACTCAGCTTCTTTCACACTACCGGCACCAATAGTTGCACAAGCAGTACACTCTTTTCTTATCCACCCCATATCTATGACAAACTTATTCAAGTATGATTGAAAGATGCTTTACTTTTGTAACCATTGAGCATAACTGAATTAGCAGTGTCATGGTTTGGAGCAAAGTTCAGTATGATACATGAAATCCATTTTCAAAATGGTTCTAATAATTATTATGAAAATCGTCTAGAAGCTGTAGAAACACTCGTTCTGTTTGTAAACTGTGTCTGTGGAGGCTTTTAAGCTGTTTTCTTCATTTTACTAACACTTCTTCTGGCTGTCAATGTTGGTGGGGTTCAGTTATCTAACACGTTGAACACACACTTGTTGCTTGCTAGTATCTTTGTGTCTTGAATACCAGTTGTCAGTCTGCTGTGTAGCGCATTGAATATTCTTTCTTGCTTTTCTTCTAAGGTATGTCATCTTCGGAAAATCCAGAGATTGTTGAGAGGGTTTTTGGGAACAAGGAGAAGGAGGAGAAAGAAGATAAGAAAGATGAGCAAAAGGGTGGGTTTATTGAAAAAGTTAAGGACTTTATCCAAGATATTGGTGAGAAAATCGAGGAAACAATTGGTTTTGGAAAACCAACTGCAGATGTAACTGAAATTCATATTCCTCATATCAATCTTAAAAAGGCTGAAATAGTCATTGATGTGCTTGTGAAGAACCCAAACCCCGTCCCGATTCCTCTCATTGACATAAACTATTTAATTGACAGTGATGGAAGGGAACTGCTTTCTGGATTAATCCCTGATGCTGGAACAATCCATGCACATGGTTCAGAGACCGTCAAAATACCACTTAATCTGGTTTATGATGACATCAAAAATACATACCACGATATACAGCCTGGAAGCATCATTCCGTATAGGATCAAGGTTGACCTTATAGTTGATGTGCCTGTTTTTGGTAGGTTAACTCTGCCTCTTGAGAAAACTGGCAAGATTCCTATACCTTACAAGCCAGATATTGATCTTGAGAAAATCCATTTTGAGAAGTTCTCTTTCGAGGAAACTGTAGCAGTTCTTAAGTTGAAGCTGGAAAACAAGAACGATTTTGATCTTGCGCTCAATAGCCTTGATTATGATCTTTGGCTATCAGACGTCAATGTTGGCGGCGCAGAGCTTGAGAAATCAGCTAAACTTGAAAAGAACGGAATCAGCTATATTGATATCCCTATAACCTTCAGGCCCAAGGACTTTGGCTCTGCTCTTTGGGACATGATCAGAGGGAGAGGTACCGGCTATACCATAAAAGGTAATATTAATGTGGACACACCCTTTGGAGCAATGAAGTTACCCATTAGCAAGGAGGGGGGTACAACCCGTCTCAAGAAGAACAAAGAAGATGGGGGAGACGATGATGAAGATGAGGTATGTTAGCTGTTCCGTTTTCAAAAATTCAGTGTTGCTCATCCATTGCGCTGATTTGAACTGTTTCTCTGTGCTCCTGAGTTGGAATAGTCACTCTCTTTTCCAACCTGAGCATTCTGAGGGTTTGCTTTCATTTAGCACTCTGTTTTGTACATATGTACTCCCTCCGTCCCAAAAAGGTCAACACTTTTCGGATTTCGAGAGTTAAACTTCTTAACTTTGACCATGAATTCGAAGATAGAATCTTTAAGATTTTGAAATAAAATTTATATATTTGGAAATTACATAGAAGTACTATAAGTCACTATAATTAATAATTTAAAATATTTAAAAGAAATATGAAAAAGTCGTGTCCAAAGGACAAGTCCTTTAACTCTCATAATCCGAAAAGTAATCATCTTTTCAGGGACGGAGGGAGTATATGTTATTGATTTGACCATGCATCTTCTAAAGGAACATGAAAAGACAAAAATGTCTCTATCTCTACTTGTGAAGTAGGTGGGCGATTAAAAAACTTAATTATATCAAGGGAGACTGCAAGATCATAGATGATTGATCGTTGGTATCCGGCACTGCTGAATGAACCACGCTTATAAAATTAGTTACCATCCTCCATGTATATAATCTAGAGAGGTAACAGAAAATAATATCTTCTGTGAATTCTGAGAAGCCATGCCTCTTATGTGAATAAGTATGTGTTGTATAAAGAGTAATTTGTGCTATTCAATCATCGACCCAATTTCTTCATAGAAAGATCATAGTCTACTCTGCAAAGTAAAATCTCTCTACGTAGGCATATGTCTGTCTCGGTTATCTCTTATTCAAGTGAAGTTGCTACACAGGTAGCATTTTATCGATCTTGTTTATCATCACTTGATCAATTGTTTTACTATGGTTTTACATTTTATGAGCTTTGAGCTTCAACGTCGGTGTAAAGATGTGTTAACAAGCGACATCTCCGGTTCATCAGTGTTTGCTCATTACGGTCCTTCAGTCACCTAGTTCCTACTTGCCACTTTTTTTTACTTATCATTATGTTTTTTATTTACTGAATTTTGTTTCCTCAAGTTGTGGCTGGGTGGATGTCATCTTCTAATTCTATTTCAAGTTCAACTGTTACGTCATAATAGTTTGTTTTCACCCCTTGGCTGTACAAACATGTAGCAGTGTTAACCCTTTGCCCTTCCATTCACAGGATTGAAGTTGGAGATCACCTTTGCAAAAGCCACACTTGTTTGAGGCTAGCTTTATAGAGGAAAAGTCATCTGCTGATGGGAACTTTTAGTCCCCAAAATAAATATGAACTTTAGCTTGGATGTGAAATATGTCTACTTAATAGTTTATTTTCGAATTATGTCTCTGGATGTGTAACTCGTTGCGATGAGGTACTAATTGTTTTATGAGTTGTTTGCTATCATTGTTTTGGTTGATATATATTATGCCCCTTGATGTTCGGACATCGCGAGTCACAAGCTATTGACATTCTAATGTTTGTTGTTCTTGTGTTTCATCTTATCTGGTTGTGATTCTGTATCTGCTCGGATTAAAAACAAGGGCCGTAAGATCTTTCAACACCTAAGTTGGTTAGAGCTAGCAGACTTATCAGTACATGTGTTGGTAGGAGGTAGCAAGTATTCGACAGAATAGTAGAGGCGTGCGCCAACTGGATCCGACACCACTGTCATAAAAAAAAAAAGGTTGGTTAGAGCCAGTTAGGAGATAATATAATACCACATTTCAACCCATATATTCGGTGTTATCCATGGTTGCCATGGTTTATTAGCAGCTCATTAATTTGACTAAAATGATAAGTTTATGGCAAATTCAAGATTTTCTTCTCTTATCCATTTTCTTCTTGGCAACTTTGCTGTTGTGATTATGGATTTTTGAGGAGATTGTGTTGGATGGCAAAGTCAAGGAAGCTCTGCGGAAGTAAATGGAAATGTGGTTATATGCAAAGTACTGCAAATGTGAACTAAGAGGGTATTTGGCTAAGCTTACAAGCGGTCAAATTAGCTTATGAACTTTTAGCTTATAAGAACTTTAAGTTTGACCAATATTTTTGCTTTCTAAGTGTTGTAGTGATGAAGACAGTGTTTGTTTCTCTTCAAATATTTTGTCCTATTTAGGTTTATTTTTTACTGAGAAACTTTTGTCAATTTATTAATTATTACTCCCTCCGGTCTAAAATAAGTGATTTTTTTGGCCTTTTTCTTGTGGTCCAAAATAAGTGATTTTTCCAAATTTCAAGGATGAATTAATTATTTTTTTCCTACATTATCCTTGAAGTAAATGGTGTTGGAATATGTGTTAGGAGTGTTTATGTGAGATAGTAAAGGTTAATATGGTCAATTCCATTGCTAATTAATGCTAAAAGGTGGATTTCTTAATTTGTGTGGAAACATCCAAAAAATCACTTATTTTGGACCGGAGGGAGTATAACTTATGATTATATGCTTATCATAAAATAAATTATATTTATCACAAAAATTATCTTATCTAAGAACAGTTGTATCTAAAATAAAATGACAAGTAAAATATTTTATATTTGATTCGGTCTGGAATCTTAAATTGAAGAAATTACGCTTATTTAAGTCATTTTAACAGAAAAAGAGCTTATCGACACTTTTTTTTGTCAAATACTGCAACAACTTATTATTAATTTCAGCACTTGTATCCAAATAAATAACTGTTTATTTATTAAATTAATTTCATCACTTAAAGTTTTTCAGCACCTAATACTTATCAACTACTTTAATTCAGCTAATCCAAACGGGCTTTAAAAGTAAAAGGGAACGTCAAATATTCTGTTTGCAATCCAAGTTTGAATGGAACATCATAACAAAAGGGGAAGTGGGCGGTAAGAGGAAGGAGAACATGGTAAATTTGACCTAAACACATAAGGTATTTGCTTCACTACTGTGTTCTTTTTCCTTTTTGGGTTCCCATCTGATTTCCAATGTTCGCATTGCGGATGTAAAATTTTGCGGGTGCCACTAAATAGGGAGAAATTCAAAAATAGACGGATTTACAGCTGGTCGTTCAAAAATAGCCCAAATTTAAAAGTAATCGAAATTTAGCCACTTTTCATGTAAAGATAAATCTGAGTGAAAACACTGTTCAAAACCCGAAAAATACGCCAGTATATTATGCTGGAGTTCCAACATAAGTATACTTGAACCCCAGCATATTATACTGGAGTTCCAGGATAAGTATGCTGGAACTCCAGCATAATATGATGGAGTTCCAGCATAAAGTACACTAGAACTCCAGCATAATATACTGGAGTTCCAGCAAGTATACTGGTCCAGCATAATATACTGGAGTTTGGAGCACCGGTGCTCCAGTCTCCAGTATATTATACTGGAGCTAGCAAAGTATACCGGTCCAGCATAATATGCCGGAGTTCATACACAGGTGCACCGAACTCCAGTATATTATGCTGGACTGGTCTTTGTTGCAGCAAAATAATGGCTATTTTTTATTGACTTGGTAAACGCTGGCTATTTTTGAATGACCAGTCCGAAAACTGGCTATACCGTGCTATTTTTACCACTAAATAGGACACTTTAATACCACTTTTGATTTTTTGACCCCGTTTGATCTATTGACAGAACTTTAAGTTTAACAAGTGATGCTTTTTGCTTGTCCCATCGTCAACACTTTTAACTTTTGACCTTAAAGATTTGCCCGTGGGGCAAGTGGGGGTCAAAAATTCAAGAACATTTATTTTCAAGGTCATCTGGTGTAATTTCCGTAAAAATAGTACGGGCTAGCCAATTTTCGGACTGGTCATTCAAAAATAGCCAGCGTTTGCAAAGCCATTGAAAAATAGCCACTATTTTGCTACAACGGAAAGTTCCAGCATAATATACTGGAGATCGGTGCACCTGTGTATGAACTTCCAACATACTATGCTGGAACTCCAACACGCGGAAAGTTTCAGTATAATATACTGAAGATTGGAGCACATGTGGTCCAATCTCCAGTATATTATACTAGAGTATTTTTCCGGATTTTGAACAGTGTTTTTGTTCAGATTTATCTTTGCATGAAAAGTGGCTAAATTTTAATTACTTTTGAGATTGTGGTTATTTTTAAATGACCATTTGTAAATCTGGCTATTTTTAAATTTCTCCCTAACCTTGTGCTTTACTCGTGAGTTGCTACTTAATTCTCTATGAAATACATGTTGATTGTTGAATTCCCAAGTAAACATAGCTGGTTCCTCTTTCTTTACAAGCTTTTGGATTTTTGCATGATTATACATAAGAACATAGTTCTCTTCTATTCTACATTAAGAGCCCGTTTGGACATAAGAATTTTTTCCTTTTTGTTTAAAAATAAAATCACTCTTTTCCGAAATCAGTGTTTGTTCATAAAATTTTCAATTTTCATTTGAAGATGCATTTTGGAAATTTTCAAAAATTTGAAAAACTCCAAAAACCTGTTTTTCAAAATTTTCACTCAAATTACTCACAAAACCTCAAAAACAACCCAAAATTATATTCATATCCAAACACAATTTAAAATTTCAAATAACATTTTCACTTGAAAAAGCATTTCACCCTTTTTGGAATTTTACAATTTTTATGTCCAAACGTCCACTAATTATTGTTCCATTCAGGTGTAGATGCAGTCGTACCGAAATTGACAATTAATGGAGTATTCTTTTATTTTACTTGACCAGTCTTTGTATTTTGTTACAAGCACTTTTCAATTATGGTTTTGACCACACAAAAAAAAAAAAAAAAAGGAAGTTTTCCTTGCATACCCCCTATTTGACTTAAATAGTTTCTTTTCTCGTGTGAATTTCTTTTTAGTTCTTTAACGACCAAATTTCTCATCTCTAGATTAACTTAATAAAATATTTTGAATTGGAAAGCTTTTGAATTTTTGTGTCAAAAGAAAATAATTCTAATCGTAGACGGCACCATGCGATTTTCCAAAAACTTATTTTGCATATTCTGAAGCAACCAAATAATAATAGAACTATTAGTGGACGTCATGTCACACAATATTAGCTTTGGCAATTTGAAATATTTTCAAAATTTACAACCAAGGAATTTTAAATACCCTCGGACTAAAACCATCAAGGATTATGGTGGATGGATTGGATGCCTTCACCTATAACCAGAGGTTCCGAATTCGAGTCCTGGTAATGGAAGAAATCCTAATAAGAAGCGCTTCCCCTTTTAATGGGCCTTACGTCGTGCGAATACGAATTAGTTGGGGCCATAATTGGGTAGCGGACACCGGATGGTAAACCAAAAAAGAAAATAAAAGACTAACATAGAATAATCTCATCACCAAATGTGACAGACAACATGAAAAAATCAATAAACCTTGCTCTAATTGCTTTCATGCTTTGGAATAGAAAGTAATTAGAGTGAAAAAGAATCGGACATTAGTTGCAAATCTCAATTTGCCTCGTAAAAATATTTATACCTGGATTTCCTTTTGAACAGAATATTGAAATTGTCAATGATCTTTTTGTAGTTGTGAAGTGAGATATATAGAGAAAGATACCTATTACTATAAACAGCAATAATTATTCTTTCTTGCTCTCGTAACAGATGTAAAAAATATAGTTAAACCATAAATTTGCTTGTAATTAATTAACTGCTTCCATAGGTAGGTAAAAAGAAAAACTAAATCTCATAAAAGAATTCATGATCCATATCACTAATGCTTTTTCTATTAACATGATTTATTTATTGAGAATTTATTGAAAAATGAAAAATGATTTCCAAGTGATAACATCAGAATTTAATTCATTTACTTTAAATGGAAGGTTCAGAGAGGAAGCAATAGCATTCATGCATCTCTCTTCGAGGAGGCGCTTAAAAAGGCAAGTGGGCTACGTTAAAAGAACACTTTGCTTTATGAATAAGAGAACAGAGCTCTAATTCATAAGTCAACAATGTAGGTTGTATGAGGGACAAGAATCATTTTACTTTTGATTTTTCACTAATGTCTGGCAGATGCGGAGTTAGGATTTAAAGTTTGTGAGTTCTGAATTTGACACCGAACCCATAGTATGTTTTAGTTATTGAGTTCACAATTATATATTAATTAATACAAATTTAAACATTTTTTAATATAAATACAAAATCTACGCAAATATTATTGGGCTCGGCTAAACCCGTAAAGTATACCCTACCTCCGCCCCCGATGCGTGGTATCTACTTGGACCCTACTAATTTAGATTGCATGGTGTAAGATCTATTAATGGGGAAAGCATTTCCTACCAATTTTTATTTTTTATATTTAGAACTCAGATTCGAGACTTTTGATTAAGGATGGCACAAATAGATCCTATTCATCCTATGACAATCTTTGACGGTAAATTAAATAGGAGTATAAGTTATGAAAAGGTCGGTGCATGACCTCATTTTGCAGCATCTTGATCACGCCCAACTATGCCTTATAAAAAGGACAATGCGGACGTTGCAAATATAACCCGAGTATTACACCTAGGGTCGAATCCACAGAGAGTTA